TTTTCACAATAGACATTTATACACCATTCGATAGAGAATTTCAAGGGCTACATTTTACACTATTTATATTTGATATACGAATTATTTGAATTTTCGGCCTAATGTCCGCTTGGATGCCCACTGTGCGATTTTCTGAAAACCCAGTTTTTCAGAAACTCTAAAAAATAATCCAAACATTAAGCAGTCCAAATTGCAGTCCGCAAATTTCTGATTATAATGAGACATCTCTCAGCTCTACACGCAAATGTTTTCCTTCTCTTTTGTGTAGTTTTGAGCTGACAATGAATATTTAGGGCTTTTCTTGTAAACTGCATAACTTTGCAGAGAAAGGTCGTGCAGAGCCGGGAGATGCCTCATTTTAATCAGAAACTTGCGGACTACAAACATGCCGCACTAAGAAAGGTTTTTGTTATTTTCTAGGGTTTCAGAAAAACGGATCTTAGAAGGGCAAAGGGGAACCCCCATGGTCATAAACGGAATCAACATGGTTAATAACATATAATCCAGTAGCTTTCGTTACAAAAACGATTTATCAGTTGAGATGGTTTCCTCGTAAGGAATTTTTATCTATTTTTTTTTGTCCGGCGCATTTATTTAACAACAGGATTTCTTTTTCTCTCTCGCTCTCTTTCTTCTTGAAATTTCATTCTAATTTTTGTTAATCCGATTCTTTCTAGTATTGCGCTAAAAGACTGTCTCCCAAACTAGGAATTATTTAAGAAAAATGATTGTTTACAACCTCACCGTAAATAGCGTTCTTTAAAATATACGATGAAATCATTTAGGAGTTGCTGTGAGAAAGAGGCGTGGTGTGTATAACGAAAACATTTTATGATCATTTCGAAAAGCACTTAGTTAGCTCTGAAAACGATTGTATGCCTTTATTTTTGAAAAAGCCTTCTTTAATTATTACCGTCTTTAGTTGTAACACCGACAACTATCGAAACAACTTCATCATCCTCACCACCAACTACTACGATACGAACGTCTGTTACAATGACTGACAATCATAGTACTGATACTGGTATAACAACAATAGGTTAGTATAGTCTAATTGAAATTTTAAGTGTATTTACTATGAAACATTAAAGTTATAGTCTACAGATAAAGAAATACACCTTTGTTTATAGATACAACTCACGTTTCGTCATCAACTTCGACTTTCTTATCAACAAACAGTGCTACCATTGCGCTCGATGTTTTATCTACAGTTGCAGAAGAGGCGACTACAATAGTCGATAGCTCACCAGCGATGGAAATCAGATCAACTACGTATGCCAATATCTTTGAAACATCCTCAACTTTAGAGGCTGGTAAGTAAAAAAATGGCTCTCAAAGGTGACTCTCCGTAGGCTTTGCTGAAATAACTTACCTGGAATATTGAAAAAATCACATTTCTAAAGAGACAGATGACAAAGAATCGGGCAGACATATTGAATTTCGGATTTGTGTTCGATTTGATCGTGAAAATGCATTTCCAATGTGATCGACTTCTACAACAAACTATTATTTCAACTTTTTTTTCATCTGTTTTACATTGTCTCTAGACAAATTCAGGTCTACTATTCGGTGAGTCCCTTTTTTTGAGAAAAATGCGTTCCAATTGCCCTTTGTAACATACGCTTGTCGTGCTTTTCTCCAATCCGTTGGCAATATTTTAAAACTGTTCTTTTGAATGGTATATCTTGACATTTATGACAAACTTCCTCAATATAACGCATATCTGTTCGATATACTTTAGTTCCTACTATCATATCTAATCGTCAAATTCCAATATGTGCACAATGGAATGAAACTGGTATTACCATTGCTGGTCACAGTAATGACAGTTTCTCATTAAACGGACCACTAGGTTTATTTATTGATTCAACTACGGATAATACATTATATGTTGCTGATTTTTCGAATAATCGTATACTAAAGTATAATACTTTGTCAAATGTAGTCACTACTATTTACAACGAAACAGGTAGTTTTCCAACAACAGTTTATGTTGATAGTGAACAAAATATTTATATTGATGCTTCTGGTGAAAATCAAATTCTAAAAATATCATCAACAAATGATAGTCTTACCGTTGTAGTTGGTTCAGGCACATTTACAAATAGTTATGGTTTTATAACTGATGAACGAAAACAACTATTATACGTATCTGATGATAGTGGCCATCGCATTTTAAAATGGAACTTAAATACGACAATACCTTATGTGGCAACACTTATTGCAGGTGTAACAAACCAATCAGGCTCAGACGAACTACATTTGAATTTTCCACGTGGATTGGATATAGCTCGAGATGAACAAGAAAGCTACTTGTATGTTGCTGATTTTGGTAACAATCGTATACAACGTTATTTTATTGGGAATAGCAGTGGTGATAATATAGCAACAGCTGGTACAACTATTGCTGGTAATGGTACGTCAGGCAACAGTCTAAATCAATTGAATGGTCCGCGTAATTTGTATATTACTGAAAATAATGAAATATTTATAGCTGATACATTAAATCATCGTATTATGAAATGGTTTTTAAATTCAACTAGTGGTAGTAGTGGTGTATGCGTTTTAGGATGTGCAAGTGTGCCTGGTAATGGAACGACTGAATTAAATCAACCATCTGATATAAAATTCGATTCCGATGGAAATCTATATGTATGTGATACAGGAAATAATCGTATACAAAAATTTAATATTTTAATTGATGACAGTTGTGCATGAAATTGAGTGAAAATATACTTTCTCTATACTTTTTGGAAATAAAAGAGGACATAAACAAACTTTTACGTGAATAAATACATTTCTGATCTCGAAAATTAAGCACAATTGATCCCGTTTATTAAGTTTCGCAAAAAAATACACAAGTAATCTCGGTTTTCCTAATAACTTTTAATTAGTTGTAAAACAACTGACCCCGGAAAGAGCAATATTTTTAGAACCATATTTCTTATATTGTGCAAATGATTCAAATACATATAAAAGAAGTGTTAAGGGAGAAAAGGTAAAGCGCAAACATATTATGTTATTTACAATTGAGTTCAGTCTATGCGTTGACTGTCATTAAGAGGTCAGTGTAGAGACGAAAAATCTGGAATATTTTTCTGTGTAACGGGTTCGAAGTAAAGTAAAATTCTGCAGAATTTTAACGGTGGAAATGACCATCGATCCGACTTTACATTCCTATAGAATATATTGGTGTAAGAGACAGGTTTGACATTATAAAAACGTTGTTAGAAAATTTCTTTCATTATATTTGTTACCAATCTGAGAGTGCTGTTGTAGGTCAGTGACAAATGGATGCTCCAGCGGGAAGATCCTTTCAACTATTTCTAATGCTTTTGCGAAAAAATTGAATGCTTGATCATAATTTTTTCATATTGTAATGCAATAAAGCAGTCCTAAATTTTACAAACAACGTGCTATATCCGAATGATCTGAAGAAAAAGTTTTCTTGTTCACTGTAACAGCTATTGTATAAGTTTCTAAAGCTCGTTGATAGTCTCGTTTCACATAATAAACATTACCAGCAATATTATATGTTTATGAAATATTTGGATGATCGTGTGGCAAAATGCTCTTAAGGGGAAGGGGTCCCCCCATTTAGATTTTTCTCTATCGTTCCCAGTTTGTAGAGGATACTTCGAAGTATATGTCCTGAAGTTTTTTCGGCTCATCGTTAACTTTTCGAAATGTTCTAAGATTATCTTTCACATAACTACACCACTACCAGGCCACTGACAAGATATATCTCATTTTGCAGAGCTCGAATCGAATGGTTAAAATCGCAACTCTCTAGCCTTGTTAGAAAAAAGTTATAGTCATAATACCCTCGCAGCGCATAAGTGCAGGTTTCGTCATTTTCCAGCGGATGTTGTCTAACTTGTAAATTTCTCCTAACCGCATTCCCTAACCCAGAATCTTAACCTTGGTCTCTGTTATGTCCAGGTCATTCTATAACTGTGGACGCTTGCGGCTACACAAGAGAGTCGAGCCCGTACGTTCTTTCGGAGCTGCCTACGAACAATCGTTGGCCTGAACCTTGGTGATCGTGTGCGAAATGCAACAATCCTTCAGCTATCTGGTTAACCAGGCATCGAAGATCTAATACGCCGTAACAGATGGAGGTGGTTCGGCCACGTAAATAGACTAGAAACAGAAGACGGGACTTCCTCACTGGTCAAGAGGATGATGTATTCGTACTTTGCTGGCGAAAAAGGAGCAGGAAATCCAAGCATAACGAAGAGGTGCGAAACCAAGGTCTTTGAAGATATGGAAGTTCTCGAAATCGCTAACTGGAGGCGAGCCACTCTCGACAGTACCAGCTGGCGGGATCTTTATTTTCTGTCACACCCATATACAACGGATAGTTATTCTTCTTTAGTTCGTTTTCGTTTATACCTTGACCTTAGGGTTCATGTTTTCATGTTGCATCATTATTATTCAATTTCATTTTTCTTTTCTTTGTTACTGGGAAAATAAAACACTAAACATTGTATATGTGCATTTATTTTTCAAAAACATTTTTGCGAATATACAACGAATGAATAACAACCTAAATCAACTGACATGAGTCAAAAAGAACATTTCGAAAGATGTATATACAACTGTTTCTTTAGGTATGAATATAACGGCAGAAAAGCTGTATTCTTTTCTCTGTAATTTCTGTTTTTCAGTTTGGTATCCAGCTTTCCTAGTGTACTTTTTATTTAAGTGTTTATTTTGTAAATGTTATTCAGGATGAAAAGGTCGATTTTTCAACCTCTCTTATAATTCCGATTATTTCATGAGCATATAATATTATTATAATATTCATATAATATTGAATTTTGTTTATTCCGTACATTGGGGCGAGGTTTGCCATATGAAACAGTTACTTCTCCATTTAACTTTCGCAGAAAACGTATTTTGTGACAAAGCAATTTTATATTAAATTTATACTTCAAAAATCTATATTCTGTTCTTTTCAACACAACGGAATCTTTCAATAATAACATCGATCTTGCTACTGTTCATGCCATCTGACCTCGCCTTTTTGTGAGATTTTCTAGAAAACCGAGTTTTTCAGAAATCTTTTCCATACCACCCAGATATGTCACA